GAGCAGAGATGGCACTCAGAGCTCTCCTGGAGATCAGTCCCAGCCTGGCCTCGATGCCCTGCGAGGTTTCCCCAACCCAACCATTCCATGATCAATCCCATGACTAAACGAGCAGAGGTGGCACTCAGAGCTCTCCTGAAGATTGAGCCCTTCTTGACCTTGATGCCCTGGGAGGTTTCCCCAACCCAACCATTCTATGGAATGATCCCATGAGTGATCCCATGATCAATGCCTATGACTGAAGGAGCAGAGGTGGCACTCAGGCTCTCCTGGAGATTGAGCCCACCTTGTCCTCGGTGCCCTGGGAGGTTTCCCCAACCCAACCATTCCATGAGTGATCCCTATGAGTGATCCCAAGATCAATCCCATGACTGAACCAGCAGAGGTGGCACTCAGGGCTCTCCTGGAGATCAAGTCCATCTTGGCCTTGACAATCTGGGGGGTTTCCCAACCATTCCATGAATGATTCCATGAGTGATCCCACGATCAATCCCATGACTGAACCAGCAGAGATGGCACTTAGAGCTCTCCTGGAGATTGAGTCCATCTTGGCCGTGACAATCTGGGAGGTTTCCCCAACCCAACCATTCTATGGAATGATCCCATGGAACCATTCTATGGAATGATCCCATGAGTGATCCCGTGATCAATGCCATGACTGAACCAGCAGAGGTGGCACTCAGGGCTCTCCTGGAGACTGAGCCCACCTTGTCCTCGGTGCCCTGGGAGGTTTTCCCCAACCCAACCATTCCATGCATGACTCCATGAGTGACTCCATGAGGGATTCCATGAATGATCCCATGGTCAATCCCATGATCAATGCCATGACTGAACCAGCAGAGGTGGCACTCAGGGCTCTCCTAGGGATTGAGCCCATCTTGGCCTCGATGCCCTGGGAGGTTTCCCCAACCCAACCATTCCATGATCAATCCTATGATCAATCCCATGAATGACCCCATGATCAATGCCATGACTGAAGGAGCAGGGGTGGCACTCAGGGCTCTCCTGGAGACTGAGCCCACCTTGTCCTCGGTGCCCTGGGAGGTTTCTCCACCCCATCCCGCGTGACCCTCGCCGTTCCCCGCAGGCCCCGCACTGCGAGCACGCCTTCTGCAATGCCTGCATCACGCAGTGGTTCTCGCAGCAGCAGACGTGCCCCGTGGACCGCAGCGTGGGTGACGGTGGCCCACCTGCGCCCGGGTGCCGCGGATCATGCGGAACATGCTCTCCAAGCTGCAGATCACCTGCGACAACGCCGTCTTCGGCTGCACGGCCGTGGTGCGCCTCGACAACCTCATGGCTCACCTCAACGACTGCGAGCACAACCCAAGCGCCCCGTCACCTGCGAGCAGGGATGCGGGTGAGCGCGGGCACCGGGTGGGGATGGGCATGGGGTGGGGATGGGATGGGGATGGGCATGGGGTGGGCACGGGGTGGGAATGGACAGGGATGGGCACTGGGATGGACACGGGGTGGGGATGGGATGGGGATGGACACGGGATGGACACGGTGGTGGGGATGGGATGGGATGGGATGGGGATGGACACGGGATGGGCACTGGGATGGACGCGGGGTGGGGATGGGACGTGGGGTGGGCACTGGAATGGACATGGGATGGTCACTGGGATGGATACGGGGTGGGGATGGGATGGACACAGGATGGGGATGGACACAAGATGGGCATTGGGATGGACATGGGGTGGGGATGGACATGGGGTGGGCACTGGGATGGACACGGGGTGGGGATGGGATGGGGATGGACACAGGATGGTCACTGGGATGGTCACAGTATGGACATGGGATGGACACAGGATGGGGATGGACATGGGGTGGGCACTGGAATGGACATGGGGTGGGCACTGGGATGGACACGGGGTGGGGATGGACATGGGGTGGGCACTGGGATGGTCACAGTATGGACATGGGATGGACACAAGATGGGCACTGGAATGGACATGGGGTGGGCACTGGGATGGACACGGAGTGGGGATGGGACATGGGATGGCACTGGGATGGACGCGGAGTGGGGATGGACATGGGATGGCCCTGGGATAGGCACAGGAATGGGCACTGGGATGGACACGGGATGGGCACTGGGATGGACATGGGATGAGGATGGACATGGAATGGCCCTGGGATAGGCACAGGAATGGGCATGGGATGGACACAGGGTGGGCGTGGGATGGTCATTGGAATGGGGATGGTCATGGGATGGGGAGTGGATGTGGGATGGGCACAGGAATGGCACTGGGATGGACACGGGGTGGGGATGGGATAGGCACAGGATGGACATGGGATGACTATGGGATGGGGATGAACCTGGGATAGGCACAGGAATGGGCACTGGGATGGACATTGCATGGGGATGGACATAGGATGGGCACTGGAATGGACATTGGCATGGCCATGGAATGGCCACAGGAATGGCCCTGGGATGGACATTGGCATGGGGATGGGCACAACGACGGTCATGGAATGGGCACAGGATGGACCCTGGGATGGACACAGGCAGGGCCCTGGGATGGGACACCTCCAGGAGAGGTTCAGGTTGGAGCTCAGCAGGAATTTCCTCCTGGAAAGAGCTGCCAGGCTTGAGAACTCCTCAGGAAGGCAGCAGCGCAGCAAAACCCCATTTATCCCCCAAATCCTCCTCCAGCCTGACACTCAGAGCCTTTCCACACCTGAGTTACCTCTGGGAGCTGTAAATTCCCCTAAATTGGTGCCTCCACCTTTTTTTCCCCTCTGCTGGCAGGTTGGAGATGCCCAAGGACGAGCTGCCCAACCACAACTGCATCATAGCACCTGCGCTCGGTGGTGCAGCAGCAGCAGACGAGGATTGCAGAGCTGGAGAAAACCTCGGCCGAGCACAAGCACCAGCTGGCAGAGGCAGGTGGGCAGCAGCACCTGCAAGGGCAGGTTTGGGGTGTTGGGAACTGAAATCCTAAAAAAAACGGGGGGAAAAATGGTTGGGGAAAGTTGTGGGCTGAGTGTGGATTGAGCTAGGCCGTGCTAGGGGCTCTAGAAATCACAAAATCGCCAAAAAAATCCACCAAAAAAATCCCTAAATCCCCCAAAAAAAGGCTGTGGGGAGTTGTGAGTTGAGTGTGGCTCTGTGGGATTGGGCTGGGAAGGGGAAGGTTGGGAGGTTAAAATTAAAAATAAAAGGGGAAAAAAGGCTGTGGGAGATGTGAGTTGAGTGTGGCTCTGTGGGATTGGGCTAGGCATGCCGGGGGCTCCAGGAATCCCAAAATCCCAAAAAAATCCCCCAAAAAAGGCTTTGGGAGGTGTGGGTTGAGTGTGGCTCTGCAGGGGTTGGTTGGGCCACATCAGGGATTCCAGAAATCCCAAAAAATCTCAAAAAAATCCCCCAAAAAAGGCTGTGGGGAGATGTGAGTTGAGTGTGGCTCTGTGGGATTGGGCTGGCCAAGCAGGTGGGCTAGCAGCACCTGCAAGGGCAGGTTTGGGGTGTTGGGAACTGAAATCCCAAAAAAAAAAGGGGGAAAAATGGTTGGGGAAAGTGTGGGCTGAGTGGGATTGGGCTAGGCATGCTAGGGCCTCTAGAAATCACAAAATCGCCAAAAAATCACCAAAAATCCCTAAATCCCCAAAAAAACGCTGGTGGGGAGTTGTGAGTTGAGTGTGGCTCTGTGGGATTGGGCTGGGAAGGGGAAGGTTGGGAGGTTAAAATTAAAAATAAAAGGGGAAAAAAGGCTGTGGGAGATGTGAGTTGAGTGTGGCTCTGTGGGATTGGGCTAGCCATGCTGGAGGCTCCAGGAATCCCAAAATCCCAAAAAAATCCCCCAAAAAAGGCTTTGGGGAGGTGTGAGTTGAGTGTGGCTCTGCAGGGGTTGGTTGGGCCACATGAGGGACTCCAGAAATCCCAAAATCCCAAAAAAAATCTCAAAAAAATCCCCCAAAAAAGGCTGTGGGGAGATGTGAGTTGAGTGTGGCTCTGTGGGATTGGGCTAGGCCATGCCGGGGGCTCCAGGAATCCCAAAATCCAAAATAATCCCCCAAAAAAGGCTGTGGGGAGGTGTGGGTTGAGTGTGGCTCTGTGGGATTGGCTGGGAAGGGGAAGGTTGGGAGGTTTGGACACTAAAATTAAAAATAAAAGTGGAAAAAAAGGCAGTAGGAGATGCGAGTTGAGTGTGGCTCTGTGGGATTGGGCTAGGCCATGCTGGAGGCTCCAGGAATCCCAAAATCCAAAAAAATCCCCCAAAAAAGGCTTTGGGGAGGTGTGAGTTGAGTGTGGCTCTGCAGGGGTTGGTTGGGCCACATCAGGGATTCCAGAAATCCCAAAAAAATCTCAAAAAATCCCCAAAAAAGGCTGTGGGGAGATGTGAGTTGAGTGTGGCTCTGTGGGATTGGTCTGGGAAGGGGAAGGTTGGGAGGTTTGGACACTTAAATTAAAATGAAAGGGGAAAATAAAGGTTGTGGGGAGATGTGAGTTGAGTGTGGCTCTGCAGGGGTTGGTTGGGCCACATGAGGGACTCCAGAAATCCCAAAATAACAAAAAAATCTCAAAAAAATCCCCCAAAAAAGGCTGTGGGGAGATGTGAGTTGAGTGTGGCTCTGTGGGATTGGGCTGAGAGGGGGAAAGTTGGGAGGTTTGGACACTAAAATTAAAAATAAAAGGGAAAAATAAAGGCTGTGGGGAGGTGTGGGTTGAGTGTGGCTCTGCAGGGGTTGGTTGGGCCACACCAGGGATTCCAGAAATCCCAAAAAAATCTCAAAAAAATCCCCCAAAAAAGGCTGTGGGGAGATGTGAGTTGAGTGTGGCTCTGTGGGATTGGGCTGGCCAAGCAGGTGGGCAGCAGCACCTGCAAGGGCAGGTTTGGGGTGTTGGGAACTGAAATCCCAAAAAAAAAAGGGGGAAAAATGGTTGGGGAAAGTGTGGGCTGAGTGGGATTGGGCTAGGCCATGCTAGGGGCTCTAGAAATCACAAAATCACCAAAAAAATCTCAAAAAAATCCCTAAATCCCCCCCAAAAAAGGCTGTGGAGAGATGTGAGTTGAGTGTGGCTCTGTGGGATTGGGCTGGGAAGGGGAAGGTTGGGAGGTTAAAATTAAAAATAAAAGGGGAAAATAAAGGCTGTGGGAGATGTGAGTTGAGTGTGGCTCTGTGGGATTGGGCTAGGCCATGCTGGAGGCTCCAGGAATCCCAAAATCCCAAAAAAATCCCCAAAAAAGGCTGTGGGGAAGTGTGAGTTGAGTGTGGCTCTGTGGGATTGGGCTGGGAAGGGGAAGGTTGGGAGGTTTGGACACTAAAATTAAAAATAAAAGTGGAAAAAAAGGGCAGTAGGGAGATGTGAGTTGAGTGTGGCTCTGTGGGATTGGGCTAGGCCATGCCAGGGGCTCCAGAAATCCCAAAATCCCAAAAAAATCCCCCAAAAAAGGCTGTGGGGAGTTGTGAGTTGAGTGTGGCTCTGTGGGATTGGGCTGGGAAGGGGAAGGTTGGGAGGTTTGGACACTAAAATTAAAAATAAAAGTGGAAAAAAAGGCAGTAGGGAGATGCGAGTTGAGTGTGGCTCTGTGGGATTGGGCTAGGCCATGCTGGAGGCTCCAGGAATCCCAAAATCCAAAAAAATCCCCCAAAAAAGGCTTTGGGGAGGTGTGAGTTGAGTGTGGCTCTGCAGGGGTTGGTTGGGCCACATCAGGGATTCCAGAAATCCCAAAAAAATCTCAAAAAAATCCCCCAAAAAAGGCTGTGGGAGATGTGAGTTGAGTGTGGCTCTGTGGGATTGGGCTAGGCCATGCTGGAGGCTCCAGGAATCCCAAAATCCCAAAAAAATCCCCCAAAAAAGGCTGTGGGGAGATGTGAGTTGAGTGTGGCTCTGTGGGATTGGGCTGGGAAGGGGAAGGTTGGGAGGTTTGGACACTAAAATTAAAAATAAAAGGGGGAAAATAAAGGCTGTGGGGGGAGGTGTGGGTTGAGTGTGGCTCTGTGGGATTGAGCTAGGCCATGCCGGGGGCTCCAGGAATCCCAAAATCCCCAAAAAATCCCCCAAAAAAGGCTTTGGGGAGGTGTGGGTTGAGTGTGGCTCTGCAGGGGTTGGTTGGGCCACATCAGGGATTCCAGAAATCCCAAAAAAGTCTCAAAAAAATCCCCCAAAAAAGGCTGTGGGAGATGTGAGTTGAGTGTGGCTCTGTGGGATTGAGCTAGGCCATGCCGGAGGCTCCAGGAATCCCAAAATCCCAAAAAAATCCCCCAAAAAAGGCTGTGGGGAAGTGTGAGTTGAGTGTGGCTCTGTGGGATTGGGCTGGGAAGAGGGATGGTTGGGAGGTTTGGACACTAAAATTAAAAATGAAAGGGGAAAATAAAGGTTGTGGGGAGATGTGAGTTGAGTGTGGCTCTGCAGGGGTTGGTTGGGCCACATGAGGGACTCCAGAAATCCCAAAATAACAAAAAAATCTCAAAAAAATCCCCCAAAAAAGGCTGTGGGGAGATGTGAGTTGAGTGTGGCTCTGTGGGATTGGGCTGGGAGGGGGAAAGTTGGGAGGTTTGGACACTAAAATTAGAAATAAAAGGGGAAATAAAGGCTGTGGGGAAGTGTGGGTTGAGTGTGGTTCTGTGGGATTGGGCTAGGCCATGCCGGGGGCTCCAGGAATCCCAAAATCCCAAAAAAATCTCAAAAAAATCCCCCAAAAAAAGGCTTTGGAGAGGTGTACTTTGAGTGTGGCTCTTCAGGGGTTGGTTGGGCCACACCAGGGACTCCAGAAATCCCAAAATCCAAAAAAAAATCCCAAAAAACCAGCAAAAAATGTGCTGAGGGGAGCAGTGGGTTGAGTGGGGCTCTGCAGTAATTTTTTATGTTGTAAAAGATCTGATTTATTTAAAGGATATAAGTTAAATCTGGTAGTAATCATTATTTATTGTTCTAATGAGTTTTGTCTGTTTTGACGTCTTCATTCAAAATTTTTATTTATGTTTACATTTGTATTTATTATCTTTGTAAGATTAAAAAAAAAGGAAAAAAACAAGGGTCCGGTTTGGGTTGTTAGGCACCAAAAAACGAGGGGGAAAAAAAAAAAAGGAAAATTTTTGGTGCTTGGACACCAAAATCCTCACCAAAAAAAAGGGGAAAAAAGGGGTAATTCTCATTCCAAATTCTATTTTTTCCCTACTTTGGCAGAAAAGGGACATCCAGCTGCTCAAGGCCTACATGAGGGCGATCCGCAGCGTCAACCCCAACCTGCAGAACCTGGAGGAGACCATCGAGTACAACGAGATCCTGGAGTGAGTGTGGGGTGTTATGGGGGTTTTTGAGGGAAATTCGGTTTTTTTGAGGGAAATTCGTTGTTTTTTGAGGGAAATCGGTTGATTTTTGAGGGAAATTTGTAGGTTTTGGGGGGAATTTTTAATTTTTTGAGGGAAATCTGTTGATTTTTGAGGGGAATTTGTAATTTTTTGAGGGAAATTAATCAGCTTTTGAGGGAAATTTGTAGGTTTTGGGGGAAAATTTGTTGATTTTTGAGGGAAATTTGGAGGTTTTGGGGGGAATTTGTAATTTTTGGAGGGAAATGATTAATTTTTGGGGGGAAATTTGTTAATTTTTGAGGGAAATCTGTTGATTTTTGAGGGAAATTTGTAGGTTTTGGGGGGAAAATTGTTGATTTTTGAGGGAAATTTGTAGGTTTTGGGGGGAAACTTGTTGATTTTTGAGGGAAATTAATCAGTTTTTGAGGGAAACTTGTATGTTTTGGGGGGAAATTTGTTAATTTTTGAGGGAAATCTGTTGATTTTTGAGGGAAATTTGTAGGTTTTGGGGGGAAATTTGTTAATTTTTGGGGGGAAATTTGTTCATTTTTGAGGGAAATTCGTTGATTTCTGAGGGAAATTTGTAGTTTTTCGAGGGGAATTGGTCATTTTTTGAGGGAAGTCTGTAGTTTGTGAGGGGAATTTGTAGGTTTCGGGAGAAAATTTGTCATTTTCTGAGGAAAATTTGTCATATTTTGAAGGAAATTCATTGATTTTTTGAGGGAAATTCATTGATTTCTGAGGGAAATTTGTAGGTTTTGGGAGAAAATTTGTCATTTTTTGAGGGAAATTAGTCAATTATTGAGGAAAATTCATTTATTTTTGAGGGAAATTTGTAGGTTTTGGGAGAAAATTTGTAATGTTTTGAGGGAAATTTGTTTATTTCTGAGGGAAATTTGTTATTTTTTGAGGGAAATTTGTTGATTTTTGAGAGAAATTTTTAGGTTTGGGGGGGAAATTTGTGGATTTTGGGGGAAATCAATTGTTTTTTGAGGGAAATTAATTGTTTTTTGAGGGAAATTAATCTTTATTTGAGGGCAATTAATTGATTTTTGAGGGAAATTCTATTATTTGTGAGGGAAATTTGCTGGTTTTTGAGGGAAATTTGATGATTTTTGAGGGAAATTCCATGATCCCACCCCATCCCTGACCCCTCTGAGTGTCCTGAGCTGGCTGAACCCCCACAAATCCACCCCAATCCCCCATCCCTGACCCTGTTATCCCCTCCCAGCTGCTGAACCCCCACAATCCCACCCCAATCCCCCATCCCTGACCCTGTTATCCCCTCCCAGCTGCTGAACCCCCACAATCCCACCCCAAACCCCCATCCCTGACCCCATTATGTCCCCCCAGGTGGGTGAACCCCCACAATCCCACCCCAAACCCCCATCCCTGACCCCGCTGTGTCCCTCCAGCTGGCTGAACCCCCACAGTCCTGACCCCGTTATCCCCTCCCAGCTGGGTGAACCCCCACAGTCCCACCCCAATCCCCCATCCCTCACCCCATTATCCCCTCCCAGCTGCTGAACCCCCACAAACCCACCCCAATCCCCATCCCTGACCCCATTATCCCCTCCCAGCTGACTGAACCTCCACAAACCCACCCCAAACCCCCATCCCTGACCCCTTTATGTCCCCTCCCAGCTGGCTGAACCCCCACAGTCCCACCCCAAACCCCCATCCCTGACCCCTTTGTGTCCCCCCAGCTGGCTGAACCCCCACAAATCCACCCCAAACCCCCATCCCTGACCCCTCCGTGTCCCTCCATGTGGGTGAACCCCCACAAACCCACCCCAATCCCCCATCCCTGACCCCATTATCCCCTCCCATGTGGGTGAACCCCCACAGTCCCACACCCAAACCCCCATCCCTGACCCCTTTATGTCCCCCCAGCTGCTGAACCCCCACAATCCCACCCCAAACCCCCATCCCTGACCCCATTATCCCCCCCAGCTGCTGAACCCCCACAATCCCACCCCAAACCCCCATCCCTGACCCCGCTGTGTCCCCTCAGCTGCTGAACCCCCACAATCCCACCCCAAACCCCCATCCCTGACCCCTTTGTGTCCCCCCAGGTGGGTGAACTCCCTGCAGCCGGCGCGGGTGACGCGCTGGGGCGGCATGATCTCCACGCCCGACGCCGTCCTTCAGGCCGTCATCAAGCGCTCGCTGGTGGAGAGCGGCTGCCCGGCCTCCATCACCAACGAGCTCATCGAGAACGCCCACGAGCGCAACTGGCCCCAGGGGCTGGCCACGCTGGAGACCAGGCAGATGAACCGCAGATACTACGAGAACTACGTGGCCAAACGCATCCCCGGCAAGCAGGCCGTGGTGGTGATGGCCTGCGAGAACCAGCACATGGGAGAGGACATGGTGCTGGAGCCGGGGCTCGTCATGATTTTCGCTCACGGAGTGGAGGAGATATGAGAGGAGTTGGCCTAAGGGTGGAGAGGAGGGGGTTGGTGGAGGAGATGTGGGGGGAAAATCCAGCTTGGGACAATGGGGGTGTTGTGGAGTTGGGTTTTTTGTTCGTGGTGTGGAGGAGATATGAGAGAAATTCACCTAGGGTTTTCTGGAGTTGGGATTTTGGGGTTGTGATTTTTGGTCAGGATGTAGAGATCCAAAAAAATCCGACTCGGGACAGTGGGGGTTCCCTGGACTTGGGTTTTTGGGGTTGTGATTTTTGCTCACAGAGTGGAAGACATCTGAGAAAAATCCAACTCTGGGATGGCAGGGATTTCCTGGAGTTGGGATTTTGGGTTGTGATTTTTGCTCATGGCATGGAGATCCAAAAGAAATCCAACTCGGGACAGTGGGGGTTTCCTGGAGTTGGAATTTTTGCTCATGGCGTGGAAATCTGAGAAAAATCCACTTTGGGATGGCAGGGGTTTCCTGGACTTTTAGGGTTTTCGTGATTTTCACTCATGCCATGGAGGAGATCTGAGAAAAATCCACCTTGGGATGGCAGGGGTTTTCTGGAGTTGGGATTTTGGGGTTGTGATTTTTGGTCATGACGTAGAGATCCAAAAAAATCCGACTCGGGACAGTGGGGGTTCCCTGGAGTTGGGATTTTGGGGTTGTGATTTTTGGTCACAGCGTGGAGATCTGACAAAAATCCAACTCAGGACAGTGGGGGTTCCCTGGATTTGGGTTTTTGGGGTTGTGATTTTTGCTCATGATGAGAAGATCTGAAAAAAAAAAAAAAAAAATCAACGGTTCCACCACCTCAGGATAGTGGGGGCTCCTTGAACTTTGGTTTTTAGGGTTTGTGATTTTCCCTCACAGCTTGAAAATCTGGAGATCTGAAAAAATCCGACTCAGGACAGCGGGGGTTCCCTGGACTCAGAATTTTGGGGTTCCCTGGACTCAGAATTTTGGGGTTCTCTGGACTCGGAATTTTGGGGTTCCCTGGACTCAGATTTTTTGGGGTTCCCTGGATTCGGATTTTTTGGGGTTCTCTGGACTCGGAATTTGGTGTTCCCTGGACTCGGATTTTTTTGGGGTTCCCTGGACTCGGAATTTTGGGGTTCTCTGGACTCGGAATTTTGGGGTTCCCTGGACTCAGAATTTTTGGGGTTCCCTGAATTCGGATTTTTGGGGTTCCCTGGGCTCGGAATTTTGGGGTTCCCTGGACTCGGATTTTTGGGATTCCCTGGACTCGGATTTTTTGGGGTTCTCTGGACTTGGAATTTTTGGGGTTCCCCGGATTCGGATTTATGGGGTTCCCTGGACTCGGAATTTTGGGGTTCCCTGGACTCAGAATTTTGGGGTTCCCTGGATTCGGATTTTTTGGGGTTCCCTGGACTCGGATTTTTGGGGTTCCCTGGACTCGGATTTTTGGGTTTCCCTGGACTTGGAATTTCGGGGTTCCCTGGATTCGGAATTTTGGGGTTCCCTGGACTCGGAATTTTTGGGGTTCTCTGGACTTGGAGTTTTTGGGGTTCCCCGGATTCGGATTTATGGGGTTCCCTGGACTCGGAATTTTGGGCTTCCCTGGACTCGGATTTTTGGGGTTCCCTTCTGGATTGGACCCATTCCAAACCCAGCTCAGCTCACCCTGTTCCAAGAGGGGGCTCCAGACCCCTCGGGGGTCCCCCAGACCCCTCAAGCTCCATCTCCTCTCTGCAGTTTCCACCTGGCCAGGTGTCCCCAAAGGGCGCTCCCGGTGTCCCCAGCCCTGCAGTGGGGGCTCCTCGGCCCTGGGGACCCCTCCTGTCCCCTTCTTTTCGTGCATGCCCCATCCCCTGACCCCGGGAGCATCTCCCACCTCCTCCCAATCCGTGTTTGCCTCTGCTCTCTCCACCCTTGGTGTTATTTTTCCAGACATTCGTGATTGTGGTTCTGTATTTTTAATTTTTTTTTTTTTTTTTGTACTTCATTCTTTTTTCTTTTTTTTTTTTTTTTGACCTTTTCTTATTTTTACTCTCCCTTTTTATTTGATTTTCCAAGTAACCGTGGGCAGGCACCTCTGGCCTGGGTCCGTGGGACTCGTTGGGAATTTAATTTAATTTATTTGCATTTATTTCAATTTTTTTTTTTTTTTTACCATTGTTTCTCCTCCCGGCAGATCCGGCAGGAGGCAGGGATTGAAGTGATCAATAAACAGAATTCTGGTTGCTTTATCCCCGTTTTGGGGGCCTCCTCCTGCACCCCAAAACCCTCCCCGTGTCAGAGGGGGCTCAGTTTTGGGGTAAAAATGGGTGGGTTTGGGGCTGTTCTCCCCATCCTGGGGGGATTTGGGGATTAATAAATGTCACTACTGAGAGGGAACGGGGGTGGCTGAGGGTCCTGGGGGTTCCCCCTGCCCCGGAGCCCCCCCAAATGTGCTCCCCAAAAAGGACGAACCTGCCCCCCCTTGAGAGAGAGAGAGAGAGGGCCCAGAGTGGGGTTCCCTAAAAAAGATCATAAAAGGGGGGTCCCCACTGTTCCCACCCCAAAAGGAGCTGGGACTGGGGGGTCCTCACCCCAAAACCAGCTGGGAATGGGGGGTCCCCACCCCTAAAAGAGCTGGGAATGGGGGGTCCCCTACCCCTAAATGAGCTGGGAATGGGGGGTCCCCACCCCAAAAAGAGCTGGGAATGGGGGTCCCCACCCCAAAAGGAGCTGGGATTGAGGGGTCCCCACCCCAAAACCAGCTGGGATTGAGGGGTCCCCACCCCAAAACCAGCTGGGAATGGGAATGGGGGGTCCCCACCCCAAAAAGAGCTGGGATTGAGGGGTCCCCTACCCCTAAATGAGCTGGGAATGGGGGGTCCCTACCCCTAAAAGGGCTGGGATTGAGGGGTCCCTACCCCAAAACCAGCTGGGAATGGGAATGGGGGGGTCCTCACCTCAAAAGGAGCTGGGACTGGGAATGGGGGGTCCCCACCCCAAAAAGAGCTGGGATTGGGGGGGTCCCCACCTCTAAAAGAGATGAGAATGGGAATGGGGGGGTCTCCACCCCTAAATGAGCTGGGACTGGGACTGGGGGGTCCCTACCCCTAAAAGAGCAGGACCCAGAGTGGGGTTCCCACTTCTGCCCTTAAAAAGGTCATAAAGGGGGGTTCCCACCCTAAAAAGAGCTGGGGCTGAGGGTCCCCACCCCAAAAGGAGCTGGGATTGGGGGGTCCCCACTGTCCCTACCCCTAAAAGAGCTGGGACTGGGAATGGGGGGTCCCCACCCCAAAAAAAGATGGGATTGAGGGGTCCCTACCCCTAAATGAGCTGGGAATGGGAATGGAGGGTCCCCACCCCAAAAAGCGTCGGTACCGGGGCTGGGGGGTCCCTGCTGCTCCCACCCCATTAAAGGAGCCTGCATTAGAGGGGGTTCCCCATTATTCCCGCCCCTAAAAGAGCCGGTACCGGGGCTTGGGGACTCTCCGATCCTCCCGCCGTTAAAGGAGCCGGTACCGGAGGCAGAGCGCGTGCTCTGCCGCCGTTAAGAGCCGGTAACCGAGCGAGGATCCCAATGGTTACCCCCGTTAAAAGAGCCGGTACCGGAGGCTGAGGCTGTGTCTTCCCCACTCTTCCCGCCCCTAAAAGAGCCGGTACCGGGGCTTGGGGAATCCGTGATGTTCCTGCCGTTAAAGGAGCCGGTACCGGGGCTTGGGGAATCCGTGATGTTCCTGCCGTTAAAGGAGCCGGTACCGGAGGCTCAGGCCGTGTCTTCCCCGCTGTTCCTGCCGTTAAAGGAGCCGCTACCGGCGGGCGGGAGGCTCCGTGATGTCCCCACCGTTAAAAGATCCGGTACCGGAGGCTGAGGCTGTGTCTTCCCCGCTGTTCCCGCCGTTAAAAGATCCGGTACCGGAGGCTGAGACTGTGTCATCCCCGCTGTTAAAAGAGCCGGTACCGGAGGGAGCACCGTGTGCTCGCCGTTACCGGGGGAGCTCCCACGCGCGTCCCCCACCAGCAAAAGTGAGCGTGGCGTCACGGACAGGATTCGAACCTGTGCGGGGAAACCCCATTGGATTTCGAGTCCAACGCCTTAACCACTCGGCCACCGTGACTCTCGCGCCTCCGTTCGCCGCGCTCCGTATAGACCCGGTCCCGCCGCCGCTCCCGGCCCCGCCCCGCCCGGTGCCCGGTGCCCGGTTTGGTGCTCAATGCCCGGTTTGGTGTTCAGTGCCCGGTGCCCAGCCTAGTGATCAATGCCTGGTGCCCGGTGCTCGGTACCCGGCTTGCTGCTCAATGCCCGGTACCGTTCCGGTGCTCCCTCCGGTGCCCATCCCTTTCCACCCCCGCCTTCCCCCGTCCCGGGCTGCTCCAAACCCCGTCCAACCCGGCCTGCGACACCTCCAGGGTTGGGGCACCCACGGCAGCTCTGGGAAATCCATTCCCCACCCTCCCAGGAAGGAATTTCCTCCCAGTCTCCCGTCTAAACCCAATTTCTTGAGATTTGAACCCATTTCTTCTTGTCGTGCCTCTCTTGTCGCACTTGCGGGCGGCGGGGCCGGTAACGGGCAGCGGGACCAACAACGGGCGGTGGAGCGGGGGCTCGGGGCCCGGAACAGCGCCCGGGGCCGGGAACAGCGCCCGGGGAACAGCGGGGTCGGCGGGAACGGCGGGAGCGGGACCAGCAGGAGGCGGTGGCGGGCGCGGCGGGACCGGCGGGCGGTACAACGGGGCCGGGAACCGCGATCGGGGTCGTGAACAACGATCGGGGTCGTGAACAACAATCGGGGGTGGCGGTGCGGGAAGCGGAACATGGACCGGGGCCGGTAACACCGGGTGGGAGCGGGAACAGCGACCGGGACCGGTAAAACCGGGCGGGAGCGGCGGAGGCGGCGGTGCGGGAGCGGCACCGCCAGAGGGCGGCAGCGGCGGCGGCGGGAGCGGCAGTGCGGGAACGGGAGGGCACCAAAGGGGGCGGCGGGGCTGTAACAGCGAGCGGGGCCGGTGCGAGCGGCGGGGACAGCGACCGGGAGCGGGGACAACGGGGACAGCGGGATCGGGGACAGCGGGAACGGGGACAGCGACCGGAGGCGGCGGCGGGCGCGGCAGTGGCGGCGCGGGGCCGGCAGGGGGCGGCAGTGGCGGGCGGAGGCGGCGGCGCGGCCCGGCCCGCTCAAGATGGCGGTGCGGAAGAAGGACGGCGGCCCTAACGTCAAGTACTACGAGGCCTCGGACACCGTCAGCCAGTTCGACAACGTGCGGCTGTGGCTCGGCAAGAACTACAAGAAGGTAAGTCCGCGGAAACGCGGCGCCGCCGCCCGCCCGCCGCCGCCACGCCGGGCCCGGCCTGTCACGGCGCCGCCGCCGCCATCGCGCCCCCCCCTCCCCTCAGCGGCCGCGGCGGCCGCGCTGAGCCCCCGGCCCCGCAGTACATCCAGGCCGAGCCCCCCACCAACAAATCGCTGTCGAGCCTGGTGGTGCAGCTGCTGCAGTTCCAGGAGGAGGTGTTCGGCAAGCACGTCAGCAACGCGCCCCTCACCAAGCTGCCGGTGAGAGCCGCGGGGGGACGCGGCGGGACACGGGGACACCGCGGCCGGGACCCCTCGGGGCGGGTGCGGGACACGCGGGGAGATGGGAGCGAGGATCAGAGCAGGGGGTGTGGGGATGGAACCTCGTGGATCCGCGGAAGAGTCCCAAAGAACGGGGGACAAAGCCCAGATTGGGGAGAGCGCCCCAAAGATGTGGGGGACAGCAGCCCACAGGGCTGGGGACATGGCAGGGACAAGGCTCAGAGCAGGGGACATGGCCCTGGTGGAAAGGGACAAGGATCAGAGCAGGGGGTGTGGGGATGGAACCTCGTGGTTGTGGGGTGAGCTGGGGAAGAGCCCCCAAGAATGGGGGACAGAGCCCAGATTGGGGAGAGCGCCCCAGAGATGTGGGGACATCAGCCCACAGGGCTGGGGACATGGCAGGGACAAGGCTCAGAGCTGGGGACATGGCCCTGGTGGGACATGAGCCCAGATTGGGGAGAGCACCCCAAAGATGTGGGGACAGCAGCCCACAGGGCTGGGGACATGGCAGGGACAAGGCTCAGAGCTGGGGACATGGCCCTGGTGAACAGGGACAAGGCTCAGAGCAGGAATGGTGTCCCCAAGGGGCAGGGATGGACCCTCATGGATCAGGGGTGAGCTGGGGAAGAGCCCCAAAGAATGGGGGACAAAGCCCAGATTGAGGAGAGCACCTCAGAAACATGGGGACAGCAGCCCACAGGGCTGGGGACATGGCTCTGCTGGGCAGGGACGAGGCTCAGAGAGTGGGGACAGTGGCCCAAAGGTGTGGGGATGGACCCTTGTGACCCCAGGGTGAGCCCCCAAGAATGGGGACAAAGCCCAGGTTTGGGACAGCACCCCAATATCCAGGGAAGGTACCCCAGTAGTCAGGATGTCCCCTCAATGCCCGGGGACAGAGCCCCAGGGATTTGGGGACATGGCCCTGATGACCCTGGGACAAGGCCCCAGTGTCCCCAAAAACCTGGGGACAAAGCTCAGTGGGAACAAGGCTCCAGAGCCCCCCAAAAAGGCCCCAAAGGACAGGGGACAAAACCCTGAGTGGGGACAGCACCCCAGTAACCAGGGACAGCATCTGAGCACTCAGGAACACAACCCCAGTATTTGGGGACAGGGGTCACAGTGAGGTGGGGACAAGGCCTGAATGGGGACAGCATCCCAAAAATGCAGGACCAGCACCCCAAAGCTCCCAGTGGAAAGGGGACAGGGACAGTGATGACCAGGGGCAAGGTCCTGAGTGGGGACAGTGTCCCCAAAGAGCTGGGGACAGCTCTGAGCAGGGACAGCTCCCAGAGCCTCAGGGACGTGGCCCTGGTGACACCGTTCAGCATTCAGGTGGCTTTGGGGACAGCAGCTGACCATGGACAGCAGCCAGTGCCAGTGCCCTGGTCAGGGACATGGCCTGGAGTGCTGGGGACACTGCTGGGGACTCTGGGACACTGTCCTGCTGGGAGCTGTCCCCAAGGACCTGGGGACAGTGTCCCCACGCAGGGACAGAGCACGGCAGGGACAGAATCCATGGGGACACTGCCCAAAGGACGCCAGGACAACCCCAAAGGACCTGGGGACAGTGTCCCCACACAGGGACAGAATCCATGGGGACACTGCCCAAAGGACACCAGGACAGTCCCCAAAGGACCTGGGGACAGTGTCCCCACACAGGGACAGGTCCCCAAGTGGGGACA